TCAATAACGGTAACCCCGCTGCGCGCCTTCTGTCCAATCCCCCCCTACCCCTCCATCCTTCTACTCCGAGCTTTTATTTCCTCCGGCAATGAAATTTGTATCTCGGCCGCTTCGAATCCAGCTTCGCGAGAGGATTCGCGGCGGATAATTCGGTGCGGCGATTCCCGGCGCATAATTCGGTGCGGCGATTCCCGGCGCATAATTCGATATGGCGATTCCCGGCGGACAATTCGATGCGACGATTCCCGGCGCATAATTCTGTGCGGCGATTCCCGGCGCATAATTCGATATGGCGATTCCCGGCGGACAATTCGATGCGGCGATTCCCGGCGCATAATTCGATATGGCGATTCCCGGCGCATAATTCGGTGCGGCGATTCCCGGCGCATAATTCGATATGGCGATTCCCGGCGGACAATTCGATGCGGCGATTCCCGGCGCATAATTCGATATGGCGATTCCCGGCGGCTAATTCGGTGCGACGATTCCCGGCGCATAATTCGGTGCGGCGATTCCCGGCGCATAATTCGATATGGCGATTCCCGGCGGACAATTCGATGCGGCGATTCCCGGCGCATAATTCTGTGCGGCGATTCCCGGCAGACAATTCAGTGCGGCGATTCCCGGCGCATAATTCTGTGCGGCGATTTTGGGCGGATAATTCTGAGCGGCGATTCCCGGCAGACAATTCGGCGCGGCGATTCCCGGCGCGTTCCTCCTTGTTCGCCGTCGAATCCTCGCCGAGCCCGTGAGCTCTTATCCCGCTTGCCGGACACGTCCCGTCGCGGGCCCGAGTGTGCTCGTTCAATCATCGCCACCGCAATTGCCCAATTTCCCATGACACGGGACCCTGGCGACGTTCGACGGGCTCATCCTCGAATAGGCTCGCGACAGTTGTCAGCGGCGCGGTTAAACGCGTAAAAGCGAAATGTCAGGCCGCTCCAAGGCCGGGAGGCTAGACGAAGAGAAAGAAAGAAAAAGAGAGAGAGAGAGAGGAGAGAGGGAGTGAAAGAGAGGCCAAGACGAGCGAAAGAGAGAAAGAGAGAAAGGTGAAGCCGCTTGCGTTACACGGCATTACGATCCAACGTGGTCTCTCTCTCGTGTGCAAACGAGAGGCCGCGCTCCGACTGCATTCCTGCTCGACCACGCCGCGCGATTTCCATGCATTCGATCGTCCTGTTATGGACAGCTATCCAGCGAGCACACCCCGAGCACCGCGAGAAGCTTGATTTCGTATTATCATCGGTTTTTTCGTTCGGACGCTGCGGTTTGGCAAGTTGCCGCCGCGCTTTATAGGAGGACGGCGACTCGCGTGCAGCAATTCACGCGGGACGCTACTTTTGATGGCTGTCGAGCTCTTCTGACCACGTTGCGATGGATAACCATCGGCAAAAAATATTCGATCGCCTTTTAACACGCAATCGCTTTTTTTTAAGACGGGTCTAAGTTGCCTGAATTCTTTTCAAGCGTTAAAGGGTCTAAGTTACCAAGACCTACAAAATGCACTTCTTAAATCGACGAACAAAAAAGTTATAAAAAATATCGATCGTCTTTTCACACGTAATCACTCTTTTTAAAACAGGTCTAGATTACCTGAATTCTTTTCAAGTGTTCAAAAGTATAGTCTTCGGTACATCGAGTAAAATAGTTCTTTTTTAAATTTCGCTACTGTTTAAGATGACATAAAAAGAAAATGTATTTCAGTCGATGTACCGAAGACCAGACTTCTTCACACTTATTATTATCTAAATTATCAATGAATAAATTATTTATATACTCTGAATTATCAATGAATAAATTATTAATATACTCTAAATTATTAACGCATAAATTCTTTATATAGTCTGAATTATCAATGAATAAATTATTTATATATTCTAAATTACCAGTGAATAAACTTCTCTTTTATTGACTTTGAATCGATAAAACATTTCACTTATACACAAACAACATATTCGACTAAAACGAATTCGTTCGATTATTAATTATCTTCGATAAATATTTATCCGAAATAATTCGAACAATGCTCAGCTCTGATTCCCACAACGTTAATATCAGAGAAAAAATTTTCCATGAAAAATGTACGATTCGAGCGGTCGACTTGGATCGTCGATGTATACGGTAGCTTGTCCACCCAGATGTGTATGTCCGAGTCGCGACGTTATGAATCATTCCGTAGACACGCACAGGAGAGCTGGAATTACAAGTTCTATCGGCGGACTAACAATTAGTTCTTCGTGAATAGGTTTCGCATTGTTTCGCCGTCGATCCGCCGTTCCCCTCGCCGATTTTTCTTCCTGGTCGGCCGTTGACGGATTAGAAACGCGGATCGCGTTTGGTGAAAGGCATCAATCGTTCCTTTTCGTAACGCCGCGCGCCGTTGCGACAGCCGCGCGGAGAACATCGACCGTAAAAACGGCTTTCGAGGTTTCCTGGGCTCGCGAACAATACCCGCGCGTCCTTGGATGGGTTTCGCGTGGATCGGTGGCACATTCGGTTCTCTCGAATCATTTCAACGATCGAGATCTAGCCGATCGAGTCCAGCGGTCCCGAAGAATTCGACGAAATCGGCGGAATTTCTCGAACGGGACGAAATTGGCGCGGTTCGATCGAATCAATCTCGACATCTGAGAGAAACAGTTTAGTCGGCTATGCGCAGAACATCTGCCATAAAAACGACTTTCGAGATTTCCTGCGCTCGCGAACAATATCCGCGCGTCCTTGGATGCGTTTCGCGTGGATCGGTGGCACATTCGGTTCTCTCGAACCGTCTCGACGATCGAGATATAGCCAATCGAGTCCAGCGGTCCCGAAGAATTCGATGAAAAATTCGGAATTTCTCGAATGGGACGAAATTGGCGCGGTTCGATCGAATCAATCTCGACGTCTCGGAGAAACAGTTCGATCGGCTATGCGCAAAACATTTGCCATAAAAACGACTTTCGAGGTTTCCTGGGCTCGCGAACAATATCCGCGCGTCCTTGGATGCATTTCGCGTGGATCGGTGGCACATTCGCTTCTCTCGGATCATTTCAACGATCGAGATCTAGCCGATCGAGTCCAGCGGTCCCGAAAAATTCGATGAAAAATCGGAGGAATTTCTCGAACGGGACGAAATTGACGCGGTTCGATCGAATCAATCTCGACGTCTCGGAGAAACAGTTCGGCCGACCGCGCGCAGATAAACGCGACAGTCAACGCGTCGTAAGAGCAAACAGTATATTTTTCAGTAAAGTAATCACGCCGAGCGGCAAAGCGATCGTAAAAGCTACTCTTCTTGCGAAAATAAAACGGGAAATACGGAAAACTCGCCGCCGGAACTCGGGCCCGGAACGCGTGAAAACCGTTCGAGTACGTGACCATTTGAACCGCGGAGTTTCATAAAATGTTCATTACCGTCGGCCACTGTTCGAGTTTACGGGACACCGTTAAACGGTCGGACGATAAAGTATCGCGAATCCCGGAAAATTGGTTTAACACCGAAACCAAAGTGATTACCGCCTCCGCTATCAACACATCGTAAATATTTTAATACGATTTTCCTCTCGACTTCGCCGGGAAAACGACGCGTATGGCGCGCCTGTTATGGCAACGCCGTGATAATACAAAACTCGTAACAATTATCCGTCGCCGGACGTGATGGATAATTTCGAGGAATTATACTGAAATTTCTAAGCGAAGCTATCAAATATAATGCGTCGCTCGACGACGCCGTTAACGCTTTCCTAATCGCGATAATTACGTAAAAATAGTGGTGCGAAATCGTCGAGATCAACTTCAGCGAATTTTATATACACTATATTTATCGCTTTATTAGAAAATATTCGATCGCCTTTTAACACGCAATCACTTTTTTTAAGACGGGTCTAAGTTACCTGAATTCTTTTCAAGCGTTAAAGGATCTAAGTTACCAAGATCTACAGAATACACTTTTTAAATCTTCGTTCGAGGTTCGAACAGAAAAGTTATAAAAACTATCGATCGTCTTTTCACGCGTAATCGCTTTTTTAAAACAGGTCTAGATTAGCTGAATTCTTTTCAGGTGTTAAAAAGTATAGTCTTCGGTACATCGAGTAAAATAGTTCTTTTTTCAATTTCGCTACTGTTTAAGATGACATAAAAGAAATAAAAAGAAAATATATTTCAGTCGATGTACCGAAGACCAGACTTTTTCACACTTAAAAGGAATTCAGGTTAATTTGGATCTGTTTAAAAAAAAGGTGTAGCGTTTTAAAAGGCGATCGAAAGTTTTTTTGAACTTTTTTGTTCGAATTCCGAACGAAGGTCTAAAAAGTGCGTTTTGTAGATCTTGGTTAAATTACATGTATACAGAAAATTTCATCGAAATCGGTTGACTCGCAGTCAAGCTACAGTCACTAAAAAAGTGTAAAAATTGCTTGTTTTTACTTGTCCGTGTAATGAGCAAAGAATGAATAAATTATTTAGTTACTATAAGTTACTAACGAATAAATTCTAATAAAAAGTAAATTCGCCGGACGATGCCGTTAACGCTTTTCTAATCGCGATAATTACATAAAAATAGTGGTGTGAAATCGTCGAGATCAACTTCAGCGAATTTGATATACACTGTATTTATCGCTTTATTAACAAACACACGCCGGTGAAACCGATAATCAAGTTCGATATCTCGCCAATAATCGTGAAACGTTATCGATTATAACTACGAGCCGTAACTTTGATTACACGTCATTTTCCAATTATTATTATTATCATATAACACGATACTTTCGTATGCAATTAACATTAACGCAGTTATTACACTGAGAAAAACCTGGAGAAGCACGTGGCAGTTACGGTTGTTTGTCATCTTTTTCGTTAATTATCTCGCATACTTCTTGCGGGATACACGCCGTCGGGATGATTGATGGTACAAAGAAGCGAAAAAAATTGTAATTCTTCTTGTTACATTTTTGCGACACCGACTTCTCTCTGTTGATACACAGAGTCTTCGAGTCATTAAAAGTTCCTTCTTCTTGCAGGGATTCGACACCGTCGAGCGGCTGAACGAGTCCGGCGAACTGAGGGACATGCTGAAGCCGTACCAGGTAATTAAAAGTTGCGCATTAATTTCGCGGTCTCTAATCAAGTAAAATTTTTTCCCTCCTGTCAGCGCGTCGATTAGCAGTTAATCATAATTATACCGTGATCATTCGAGAACTGTCTCTTCATTACTGTAGCATACAACCGTCATTGACCTTCATAAGTACTTATCCGCTTGAATTAATGTTATATATATATATATTTCTTAACGCGTTTCTTTCTTTTTATAATAGGTGTAATAATTTTATAATTATATTATTATATTATAATAAGATCGAAATTTTATATTATAATTATACAATACAATTATATATTATAGTTATATAATTTTATAGTTAACATTTAATTTTATAATATATATAATATATATTATTAATAATATTATAATTATATTATAATATATTATAGTGTTATAATTATATTATAATATATTATAGTATTATAATTATATTGTAATATATTATAGTATTATAATTATATTATAATATATTATAATACTAATAATTAATATTATAATCAACGAATTAAAATTTCCTATGCTCGGGATTGCAGATATTCCTGCACTTATAGTGTACAAATATCTTGGAAGCCAGAAATAATCAAAAATCGATTATATAAATTTTGCTTTTCCTAGACTTATTTTAAAGAGCTCTCACACACAAAATGTCGCAGCAATTATACCGCAAAGATTCTTGGTCCATCTCCTCATTCCTCACGTTCCTTTGTCATTGGACAGAAAATAACTATTACACGAGAATTGCAAACCCCCCACAGAGTAGAATACGTAATTGACGTCATCACACACTTCTCATCGTAAAATGAATCATGTCCGACAACATTCTGCCAGAGGCGTTTCTCGAGTACGGTAAATACCTTCCAAAAGAGGCGATACGACTGTTCGTGCGTCGCGGCTCGTTTTTGTAGTCGCCGATTTTGTCAACAACGACAAAAACGATCCACGAGGCACGAATAATCGCGTCTCCTCTCCCCAAATTCTCCGCTCTTGTTTACAAACCGAGCGACACAACATCGAAGAGAATTTACTGTATAATTCGCGGAGAAACGAATATTATAATTAATTAATATAATTTGATATATATATTATATTATATTATATCTGTCTCTTATACACATCTTTATATTATATTATATTATATCTGTCTCTTATACACATCTTTATATTATATTATATTATATCTGTCTCTTATACACATCTTTATATTATATTATATTATATCTGTCTCTTATACACATCTTTATATTATATTATATTATATCTGTCTCTTATACACATCTTTATATTATATTATATTATATCTGTCTCTTATACACATCTTTATATTATATTATATTATATCTGTCTCTTATACACATCTTTATATTATATTATATTATATCTGTCTCTTATACACATCTTTATATTATATTATATTATATCTGTCTCTTATACACATCTTTATATTATATTATATTATATCTGTCTCTTATACACATCTTTATATTATATTATATTATATCTGTCTCTTATACACATCTTTATATTATATTATATTATATCTGTCTCTTATACACATCTTTATATTATATTATATTATATCTGTCTCTTATACACATCTTTATATTATATTATATTATATCTGTCTCTTATACACATCTTTATATTATATTATATTATATCTGTCTCTTATACACATCTTTATATTATATTATATTATATCTGTCTCTTATACACATCTTTATATTATATTATATTATATCTGTCTCTTATACACATCTTTATATTATATTATATTATATCTGTCTCTTATACACATCTTTATATTATATTATATTATATCTGTCTCTTATACACATCTTTATATTATATTATATTATATCTGTCTCTTATACACATCTTTATATTATATTATATTATATCTGTCTCTTATACACATCTTTATATTATATTATATTATATCTGTCTCTTATACACATCTTTATATTATATTATATTATATCTGTCTCTTATACACATCTTTATATTATATTATATTATATCTGTCTCTTATACACATCTTTATATTATATTATATTATATCTGTCTCTTATACACATCTTTATATTATATTATATTATATCTGTCTCTTATACACATCTTTATATTATATTATATTATATCTGTCTCTTATACACATCTTTATATTATATTATATTATATCTGTCTCTTATACACATCTTTATATTATATTATATTATATCTGTCTCTTATACACATCTTTATATTATATTATATTATATCTGTCTCTTATACACATCTTTATATTATATTATATTATATCTGTCTCTTATACACATCTTTATATTATATTATATTATATCTGTCTCTTATACACATCTTTATATTATATTATATTATATCTGTCTCTTATACACATCTTTATATTATATTATATTATATCTGTCTCTTATACACATCTTTATATTATATTATATTATATCTGTCTCTTATACACATCTTTATATTATATTATATTATATCTGTCTCTTATACACATCTTTATATTATATTATATTATATCTGTCTCTTATACACATCTTTATATTATATTATATTATATCTGTCTCTTATACACATCTTTATATTATATTATATTATATCTGTCTCTTATACACATCTTTATATTATATTATATTATATCTGTCTCTTATACACATCTTTATATTATATTATATTATATCTGTCTCTTATACACATCTTTATATTATATTATATTATATCTGTCTCTTATACACATCTTTATATTATATTATATTATATCTGTCTCTTATACACATCTTTATATTATATTATATTATATCTGTCTCTTATACACATCTTTATATTATATTATATTATATCTGTCTCTTATACACATCTTTATATTATATTATATTATATCTGTCTCTTATACACATCTTTATATTATATTATATTATATCTGTCTCTTATACACATCTTTATATTATATTATATTATATCTGTCTCTTATACACATCTTTATATTATATTATATTATATCTGTCTCTTATACACATCTTTATATTATATTATATTATATCTGTCTCTTATACACATCTTTATATTATATTATATTATATCTGTCTCTTATACACATCTTTATATTATATTATATTATATCTGTCTCTTATACACATCTTTATATTATATTATATTATATCATATCATATTATATCATGTTATATTATATTATATATATATATTGTAATATATGTATAATATAATATAATATAATTAATATAATTTGATCCTCGATAAGAAAACCGATGTTCTTTGAATTTCGAGAATGCGGGAGTTCGAGTGCCGTAGGAAAGAAAGAAATTCTCAGATCCGCCATAGGAGGATCGTGCCGGCGCGTAATCACGCGAAAGCAGGCACGAAGCTGTCTATAATCCTTCGATATAATCCTTGGTTGAGCCCGTGGAATCTCCCGCCGGTTCTCAGAATTCCGCATGCGCCTGCGTTCCACGTTCCGCGGAATATCTATGCTGCGTAGAAGAATGGAACACACCGGAGTACATACATACATGCATAGACGTACGGTTGTCTCTCTCGAGCATATACGACTGTGCACGAGTATAAAAGGAACTTGGCCAGCGTTTGCCCGTGCACCGCAATCGCGAACGCAAGGTTGTCCGATCCTTTCACTTTTATCCGACGATATCTGCCGCAGCCTGCCACCACCTTCCTTTTCCACCGCGATCATAAATTTCGATGTCGTGGCTATTGAGGTTTACCTTGTAGCGTGTAAAGGTCGTTTACACTGTTTGCTACCACCTATCACTTTCCTGATGGGCACTTCTTCGGTCCTTCGTTCGCCCTAACTATTATACTTCGACCAGTTGGCGCACCTCGTCGCTGCGTCGCTAAATACAGTGAATTCTATCGAACTTTCCTTTAATCTGTGAAGACAAATGGAGAATTTTTTTTTGGGAAGAGGAGATACGGGGCTCGAATAATTGTATCTCCTCTTCCCAAATTGTCCATTTTTAGTGCACAATTTGAGCGCGAAAATTATGGGAAAATTACTGTAATTAAAGTAAATACTTTGACCAGTTGACGCACCTCGTCGCTGCGTCGATAAATACAGAAAATTCTCCCGAACTTTCCTTTAATCTGTAAAGAAAAATGGAAAATTTGCGAAGAGGAGATACGATTATTCGAGCCTTGAAACTCGTTTTTATAGTTGCCGATTGTCAATAATTATAAAACCGAGGTGCAAAGCCCGAATAATCGTATCTTCTCTTCCGAATTGTCCATTTTTAGTGCGCAATCTGAGCGCGAAGATTATGGGAAAATTACTGCAATTATAGTAAATTCTCCATAATTGTCATTTATATAGTTGCCGATTGTCAACAATAATCATGTCTCCTGTTCTCGAATTGTCCATTTTTGTTCACAAGCTGAGGAACTACGTTATAATTGGATTTTATGCATTTATGGCAAAAGTGGGTAAACGAGATACAGTAATTTCTCCCGGAAATGCCAAATTTCGGGCTGCTGTGAATTTCCTCGTGCTAGTCCTACGCCTATGTGATTTATCGCTACGTCGATAATGAGGTTCGACGGAAAACAACAAAAAAATGTCCTGTTTGGCCTCTGACTTGCGTTCGTATCGTGGCAAAAAATTAGAAATAAAAAAGTTAAGTTATCGTTTTTATTCTTGCATTACTGTGTATTCATATTAATGTACGCCGGCATGCTGGCTGCTGCCTTCTTTTTGCCTACTGCTTCGAGTTTCTATAAAAACGAGCATTCTACAGTATTCTGAGATCTGCCGGTTTGAATTCCAAGCTCCGAACATTTCTGGGAAAAATGACTGGAGTTACGCAGACGTCGCCAAAGGAATTTAAGGAAATTGTCACGCTATTTTCGATTTATTGAAGCGATTCGAAGACGAAATACCTTCTCGTCTCGCTTCTGTCTTCTTCAATCGATGCAAAAAATATATACAGGGTGTCCCAAAATTATTCTATTTCCGGGAACTGAAGGGTTCCTGAGGTGATTTGAAGTAACCTTTTCCTCTGCGAAAATGCGATCCGCGGCTTCGTTTACGAGTTATTAACGAAAAACAGTGACCAATGAGAGACGAGATAAGCTGGAGCGTGACGGCCGAACCAATGAACGGAACTGGGCTTCGCGCGCGCTCGTTGGCTCGGCCGCCTCGCGCTAGCCAAGCTCGCTTCTCATTGGTCAGTGTTTTTCGTTAATAACTCGTTAACGATGCCTCGGAGAACATTTTTGCAAAGGAGAAAGTTACTTCAAATGACCTCAGAAACCCCTCATTTCCCAGAAGAAACATAATTTTGGGACACCCTGTATTTTGCCCAAAGACATTGTTTCCAAAAATCAATTACGCACAAACCGCGACCTATCGAGCCTCAAATAAATCGCTTCGGCTTTTCTTTCTCCTATTCATCTTTCTCGTGAATACACAAAGGCCTACCAAACACTATCAAACAAAAGCCTGTCGAAAATTAAATTCCATTTCAGGGGAGCGAGATTTAAAAATTTGTTCGACCATCGCGAATACATAACACAACGAGCCGATGAAAAGTAGATATTGTTTAAACGCTTCGCAGTGAAATTTTCACTCGGACGTTTCTTGTAATTCGAGAGCGATAGGGAAACGGTATGCGGTTTGCAGTTGTATGCAGCTGCTGTTCGCGTCGCCGCATGTGTCAACGCTGATTAAAGTTGCCGACCTTGGGGCCTGCTCGGCGATACCGCTTCGCGAAATGTCGCGTGTCGTCGGACTTCTTCTTCTTCCCGATTGTATATTTCTCCGGCCTCTGTCTCCGCGAGCGCGGACGGCGAGATCGTTTCTCATTCAGGACATTTAATTGCTGGAATTTCTGTTTACGTTTCTTCTGTCGCTCCGCCGGCGACCGACCTCGATTTTATTAATGGAGAAGCTCGAACAAAGAGAGCTGCCGTCGTTCTCCAATTAGAAACTTACTTCCTCGGCGGAGAGTGAAACCTGTCGATGCAGAAAATTCGATAAGAATCGGACACTTCGAACGTCATTCACGATTTAACACCTCTGCCGCCGGAAGTTTACAGAGCGTTTGCTATCGCGCCAGCTTTCGCGGAAGCTGAAAAGATTTATTAACTTATTATTAAAAGAGATTTATTTAATTTTCGATAGGCTTTTGCTTGATAGTGTTTGGTAGGCCTTCGTGCATTCGTGAGCAAAATGAATAGAAGAAAGAAAAGATAAAAAAACATTTAATGAATTTTGGGATATATATCCAGTGTCGAACTTTCGTCTCTTGAAATTAATCCTTTGCACTCGAGCGGCGACTACGAGGCGCCATTAAGAATTGTTACGTCGCGTTTCAAAATAATTTTCTCGATCAGATTTGTTTATATTTCGAGAACCGTTAAAGGCGTGACTGTTGCACGAGTCACAGTATTCGATTTAACGTGTATAAAATGCGCTAAATTCTATAAAATGGAAATATCGTGGATCGGAAAAGCTATTTGAAATTTTACGTTATTTCGGCTTCGAGCGCAAAGGGTTAACACCTGTCGAGCTCTAAAAGTGACCAACGTGCGTTGCTAAAGCATTCACATAAATAAGAACGATATAAACGAATAATAATAAACTGAATTATAATAATAAACTGAATTTGTTTAAGCTTTTCGTCGTCGCTGTTCTAATGCAATCTCGATTAATGAAATTTATCCAATCGTTTCTTTAACAAAAAAAACGCTTCGCAATTTTAATAATTCTAAAATAAATTTCACCGGTCATTTCGATCAACATGGTTCGATGTTATCGAAAAAGAAGAGATTGAACAGATTTCGATTTTTACAAAATAGCATTTTTGACAGTCTCAGCTAAGTTTTTTGATTCGCTGGACCGCGCGAATACGAAAATCGCAAGCACTATCGATTAGAAAATTATCGGGCCAGAACGAAGCCAGGCGGCTTCTTCTTCTGAAAGCCGAGCGATTACGCGAGGGTTCGATGCGTCGGAAAAATGCATAATTAAACGACGCCCACGATGCATCCTTTCCCCGGCCGGAGCGAGTCTTTACGCAATTCTTGCGTAACGTATCATCGCTATTCTCATCTTTCCTCGTAAGGCATGCGCAGTCCTCGGCGCGGGCGCAGTTTATTTCATTAACGCGCTGAATGCCAAGCGTACACCGTCATCCGCGCTCTGGTGAAACTCTCGCCGAGGACTCTCGCGTATCGACGTTGTGTCAATACCCAGGCGGATTCCGTTTAGTACGGTTTCCCGTCGGGGCCCGAAGAAACGCCGCTCGCGCAACATCTCTTTTTTGTCCACCGCCCGGAACGGGCGAAGCTGAACGCTCCTCTTAATTTATGCTCGCGGCGAGCCCGGTTGCGCAAGCTTTTTTTTCGCGGCGAGATAAATTGGCCGAAGTTTTTGACACGAGCCGGCGAAGTTTCGCGAACTTCCGCCGGGCTGTTCGAATGTCAGTCGGCGGGAAACGCGCGTTTTACACGCGGCCGGGCCGCGCGCTGCGAGAAAAAAAACGCTCCGAGTGATCTTCGTCGGCTTTGAAGCAGGTTCGCAGTTGCGCTGCACATGCACAATTGCAGAATTTCGATCGCTTGGAACAGTCTTTGGAGCATCAAAAATTCGCGATGACAAGGAAATATTTTTCTGATAAATGGCACTTTCTGATTCTTATTTTTTTTACGATTTTCAATTTTGTTCGAAGTAATCTTCGAATTGGTATTAAGGCTTCATAATAATCGGATGTAAAACATGTAGACCGCGGATTTTTGTTACTGACAAGTGATCTTTGCCGGCTTTGAAGCAGTTCGCTTGCATTTGCACATGCACAATTGCAAAATTTCCGATTGCTTATATAAGACAGACGTTGGTGCAACAAACCGATCAGGAGACAAGGGCACAGTAATGTTTAAAAATTCGCGAAAATTATAAAATATTTTTCTAATAAATCGCACTTTCCGATTCTCATTTTTTTACGATTTTAAATTTTATTCGATGTAATCTTCGAACTGGTATTAAGGCTTCATGGTAATCGGACGTAAAATATGTAGACCGGGGTTTTTTGTTACTGAAAAACGCGATTGCGAGAAACGAATCGGAATGAATCAACGCTTTGGGACGCCCCTGACCCTAATACATGAATAATGAATATCGCAAGATCATTTCCGCGCCGGCGTCACCCCCTGGATTCCTCTTATAAAACATGAAAATAGACGGCTGCGAAGGCGTGCTTGAAATAATAGTTCACTCTGTCCTGGAGATATTATAGCGAAGCGAAAGTGTCCACACCTCGTCGATCCATATTTTGAGACGCCGATCAACGGAGCCGATGCGTCTATTCCCGTTCCCCGTATCGCCTACACCGCCTTCAGCTATTTCCAAAGAACTCGGCTGAAAATGAGTAAAAGTGAAAGCCAACGTTGCGCAACCGGCCGCGACGCGGCCGCATTTCTACGCGGATTCGACAATTAATCGAAATCGGGATCGTCGCGCGCAAATTTATCATATCTCATATCCCGTCTCTCGTATCCCATATCCAATATCCCGTATACCATATCCAATATCCCATATCCCATATCTCATATCCCATATCTAATATCCCATATCTCATATCCCATATCTCATATCCCATATTCCGTATTCCATATCCCATATCCCATACCCAATATCTCGTATCCCGTATCCCGTATCCCATATTCTATATCCCATATCCCATATCCCATATCCCATATCCGATATCCGCATCCGATATCCCATATCCCATGTCCCACATCTCATATCCCATATCCCATATCCCATCCCATATTTCATATCTCATATCCGATACTCATCCCATATCCCACATCTCATATTCTATATCCCAATCTCATATCCCATATCCCATATCCCATATCTCATATCCCATATCCCATATCTCATATCCCATATCCGATATCTCATATCCAATATCCCATATCCCACATCTCATATTACATATCCCACATCCCATATCCCACATCCCATATCCCATATCCCATATCCCATATCCCATATCTCATATCTCGTATCCGATATCTTATCCCATATCCCATAGCCCATATCTCATATCCTATATCCCGTATCCCATATCCCATATCCAATATCCGATATCTCGTATCCTATATCCCATATCCAGTTTTGTTTACAAGCTGAAGGAAAATTAGGGGGAATTTACTGTACTATTCCAAAATTTTCATTTATTTTAACTCGATTTTCTGCACGCAAATAAATTATCGATACCTAAAAAAATTCCTCGTTATTTGCAATTGCAATTCCTGCAAAAATGTCATTGCGCATTGTCCAGCAAGCCAGCCCTTTCATCGTCGCAAAAAAATAAAAATCGCTCATAAAAATGCGGGACACCCTGTATACTCGAGCAAACGACTTACGAAAAAGAACAACAGAAACTTGTCGGTAAAAAGTTACGACGTCCGCGAACGTGCACGCGCGTGTACAATTCTGAACTGTAATTTGCATAGAAAATCGCCTATTTCTTGCTGATGCATCTCGAATCAACGTCGACTTCCGACACGCGTGCGTTTATTATAGCAAGCACCGGGGCGCGCGTTTTAAAGCAAACATCGCGCGGCAGACGCGTCGATGTTCAGCTCGAGAGAGAGAGATCGAGAGAGAGAGAGAGAGAGAGAGAGAGAGAGGCGGCGACGACAGTCGCAAACAGAACAAAAAACCGTAGCAATGATTGACATTTTCATTTGCAGAGCGAGGACGCGTGCACGGTGTGCCTGTTCTGCGGCGGCTACCAGTGGCAGCTGTGTCCGGTGTGCAACGGTAGCAAGAGGTCCGTGCACCGCAACGACTTCACCGCGGAATTCGTCGCGCTGAAGTGCGCGAAATGCGACGTGAACGGTCTGATCCGCTGTCCCCATTGCTGAAGGACGAGAGGGCCCCCCCGGTGCCCGGCGGACACACAGCATCGTTCTTCGAAGCCGAGCCCGGACCACGGCAGGCTTACGCGCAACACCTCTCTCTATTTAAGACTAAGGTGCTACCCGAGAGTATATTGCATTACCGCGTTAAGTAATCTGCTCGCGGACCACAGACCAGTCCGCGTACACGAGCGTGCAAGCGGCCGCCTTTCTGCAGAGGCCGTTCTTCTTTCTTCGCATTTTCCCGGCCCGAGAAATCGCCATCGCCGCCACGGCCCCCGGAAATCCCGCTCGCGGATCCGGCGAATCGACTGGCACCAGCGAGATTCGAGATTAAAGCGGCGCTTGTATGCTCGACCTCGACTACTGAACACGATACGCGGACGCTGATTGTGCGCGGCCGCGACCGTGAACTGTAAAATATCGGCTAATAAAGCTTATCTAATGTTTTGTAATATGCAACTCTGATCCGTTGTTCTTTCGCCCTCTGTCCTGCGACCTGTCCACCACGTTCTTTACGATACGACGCCAATAGCGCCTTTATGAGAAACGATTCGTCTCTGTGTATCTATCCGTGCATCTACATGGTGTCCCAAAAAAATTCTCGCAAACCGAGAATGGGAGGTTCCTGAGGTAATTTGAAGTAAGTTTGTCCTTGGTGAGAATGCGATCCACGGCTTTGTTTACGAGTTATTAACGAAAAAGAGCGACCAATGAGAGGTGAGACATGCTGGCGCATGGCGGCCGAGCCAATGAGCGAAACTGGGCCTCGTGCGCACATTGGCTAGGCCGCTAAGCGCTAGGCGAGCTCGCCTCTCATTGGTCAATGTTTTTTGTTAATAATTCGTAAACGAAGCCACGGGTTGCATTTTCGCTAAGGAAAAAGTTACTTCAAATGATCTCAGGAATTTATCATTTCCGGTTTGCGAGACATTTTTGGGACACCACGTGTATGTCCAGCTTTCGATCTGCCGCGAACTCGATGGCAAACGTTGCGAGCTGTTCTCCTCGAATGCAAGTGAATGACTTTGATTTTTCTTTTTCTTGTTTTTCTTTTGAATTATGGGAAACTGCTGCGTTCTTTTTATTGATGATTCAAGATCGAACTTGAGGACTCTGCGTGTAATCGAGGTTAAATATGATAGAATGGAGCCATCTTAAATTCGGTTCGGACATATGATCTGTATGGACGAACTTTTAACTTTTAACTTGCTGCATTATCATTATCTTCACGATATTGCAATGATTAGAACTTTTTTCATCGCAATCATTTCGTAGAAAAAGAAGATAATATTGTATTCTAATGTTTACTTGGATGATTGAATATTAAATATTAAACAGAGAACGGAATTTGATTTCGACTCCGAAGAACGGAATAACATTTATACTTGACTGTTTGTTGCTACAAATCTTCGTCACGTGTCACACTCGCCAAAGTGCGGGAACGGGTTGAAACGAACGAAAAATTGTCACGGACGATACTCAATATTAGTCCAAAAAGAACTAATTGACATAAACTTGACATAACCTTGACATAACTTTCTAGGTACGATTATCTTTATATTTATGGAATAAAATATTTTAAACACTTTTATTCTTTTATCTTTCAATTTTTATTTTATCGAATCGTTTTATCGTTTTATCGTTTTATTTTATTTCATCGAATCGTTTTATCGTCTTATTTTATTCTATCGAATCGTTTAATCGTTTTATTTTATTTTATCGAATCGTTTTATCGTTTTATTTTATTTTTCTGAGTATGATTATCTTTATATTTATGCAATAAGATATATTAAACAGTTTTAGTCTTTTATCTTTGAATTTTTATTTTATTGAATCGTTTTATCGCTTCATTTTATTCTATCGAATCATTTTATCGTTTTATTTTATCTCATCGAATCGTTTTGTCGTTTCATTTTATTTTTCTGGGCATGATTATCTTCATATTTATGCAATAAAATACATTGAACACTTTTATTCTTTTACCTTTGAATTTTTATTTTATCGAACCGTTTTATCGTTTTATTTTATTTCATCGAATCGTTTTACCATATTATTGTATTTTATCGAATCGTTTCACCATTTTATTTTATTTCATCGAATCGTTTTATCGCTTTACTTTATTCTAACGAATCATTTCACCGTTTTAATTCATTTCATCGAATCGTTTTATCGTATTATCTTATTTCATCGACTCGTCTATTTTCGAATAATAAAAACGCCCTCCAAAAATCCAAAGGCACAGCAATTCAGCGTCACCGCAGTAACCGGCCACGCTGTCCCAGATTCCATCGAAAGCCCAGCTTTTGAAATTCCGCTGTAACAGAGATCCCCGATTACGAAACGCGGATTTCTAAAAGGTATTAAATAATCGCCGATAGGTAACACCATAACTTCGCCGGGCGATCAACGCTGAAACCGCACGAAGATCGATGACTATCCTGTTTCCCGTGGAAGTGGAACGCCAGCCCGGCACGCCGGGCCGTTCGCCGCAGGAGGGACCGCGGGAAAATCGGATCGAGAAAAGTTCCGACCAATAAATCAGCCGGCCGCCGCTCGTTCCCGCCGCGCGAAAGATTCGGATCTCGTTCCGTGACGGATTAAACGGCCGGTTCCGCGTTAATTGCTAGACTCCGTCGCCCCCCGTAATCAGATCATGCAGCGAAAGTAAGGTAACCGTGCCGCGCTGTAACTCTTTGTGCTCCGATTACCCGGGCCTTGTCCGCCGGATTCCGCTCGGAGTCGCCGAGATCGACGCTCGCGGCCTTTCCATTTCTCCGCGCGCCTCGCGTTTCCGCCTCGCGTAAAATCCGCTCGATCGGCCGATCGGTTTTGCGCCATTCTCGCCGGATTTATGTCCGTTGTCTAGTTTCATTACTTCCGGCTGATTACGCTGTCCGACACGATTTTTGGGCTTCTATAGCCACTATGAAATTCTTGTAGAGCTTCACTCCCCCTGAACAAGAATCCGAAAACCGAATTGCTCCATCACCCTCAGTTTTTTAAACAAACGAACTTTTGTAGAAACCCAAAATTTTCGACAAAAATGAGGTATTGCATGAAAAGTACAAACGTTAGAAGGTTCTAATTGGTGTTAAAAGATAGAGGAGAGTTTCCCGAATATAGTGGCATGCAATTTGTTAATTGTTTTTGGTCTTAAATAGCAATAAATTAATGTCAAAGTTTAAAAAAGTGTCGACGTGAGCAGTTTCCCGGCGGACCGAGGAAAGTCGAGAGGAAAGAAAGACGAATCGTTCGTTCCAACTACGGAGAGATGATCCGCCGCGATTTATTCCTCCCGGGAACGTGTTATGGGCCGCATAATTTTCCGTAATACTTCCGTTCGCCGAATTCACGGAATTGTTTTCTTCGTTCCCGCCTATTGGACCATGTCGTCTTGATCAAATTGCTTACTCCGGCGATCCGCTCGAGTGGCCTGTCGAGGATATTGTCTCGGCGCCGAGAGATCCGAGGCTGCGGAGTTATTGCGATCCGCCGATAGGGGAGACTAGCCTAATTTGCACCACGTTATATACTTGCGGAAAGAGAAATATTATGCAGCGTTATATATATTATATAGCGTTATATATGTCCCAAAAATGTCTCGCAATCCGAAAGTAGCGAGTTCCTCGGGTCATTTGAAGCAACTTTTTCCTTTACAAAAATTTTCTCCGAGGCACCGTTAACGAGTTATTAACGAAAAATAGTGACCAATCAGAGGCGAGCTCGGCTGGCGCGAGGCGACCGAGCCAATGAGTGGAACTGGGATTCGACCGCTCGACCGCTGGCGCCGTTGGCTCGACCACCTCGCGCCAGCTGATCTCGCCTCTGATTGGTCACTGTTTTTCGTTAATAATTCGTTAACGGTGGCTCGGAGAAAATTTTTGTAAAGGAAGAAGTTGCTTCAAATGATCCGAGGAATCCGCCATTTCCGGATTGTGAGACATTTTTGGGACATCCTGTATATAACGCTAGATTTACGGGGCACAAAAACAGAGCTGTTTTGTATTAGTTTACAGAAGTGACGATGAGACATTTATTCTGATTTTGAGCAAGTGCTATTGTAACATTTGCCGCAAGTAACGTATAAATTGAATAAATAGCTCGTAAATGTATCTTTACGATACGAATAATCGTGAGTTAAAAAATTGCTGACCAATCATTTCGACGGGTTCCGTAAATCTAGTGTCAATGTTGTTTGCGGCAGGAGAGATATCGGACTAGAAAGTAACAATTTGACTACGATTACGCAAAAGACTATTAAATTTTATTAAGACTATTAAAATGCTACCTGGTTATCGGACGTTACTTAACAGCGGCATTTTCGATTGCGACAAGCGGTGTTCAAGTTATTAACAATAGCAATATATCTTTTTAAACGAATCGATTTATTAAGCAGAGTTGCAGTAAAAATTGAAATAATTGCGAACATAAAGTAAAACGAAACGTAAATCATCGTAACTACAGGTTATTCTTATGTTTCACTTTTGTATGGATATTTTTTTGTATTTTTTAAGAGTGGCATAAGTAATTACGATCTTTAATCTGTGAGGAAAGGTTCTTATCTTCCATTAATATTTAGATACTATATAAAATGCAGTAACTTTTTTAAAATTGGAATAAACAACTTGAATCTTTTTTTGGATGATAGAGGGACTACTACTACTAGGCAATGGCTATACTGCTTTGTTACAATTTTGCTATCATTTGGAATGATGGAACAAAATAAAAGATTCTCGTTTTCTAACTTCTTCATTTGAGCCTATAACGAAAATTTAAAAAATGATGCTTGTACATCCTGACAAATAAGAAAACTGTGCAAAACCGCAAATTTCTCACACTTGTTGATCGAGAGTGTCAAAAATCGGGACAGAACCGCGATTTTTGCGATCTTTAATCGTTTACAGCACATACCAAGGTCAAACAATTTGGATGAAATTTTTAACACGCATGTAACTTATCGAGATCTACACAACACATTTTTTAAATTTTCGTTATAGGCTCAGATAAAGAAGTTAAGAAACGAGAGATTTTTATTTAGCTAAGCAATAGCAAAATTTAAGAAAAGCATTCTAGTTATGGTCTAGTATTGTATACTACTGCTACCTACCGCGTGTACTACTACTACCTGCTATAGTATAGTCTAGTAGTCGCTCTATCATCTAAAAAGAAATCCAAATCGTTCAGCCCAGTTCTAAAAAAGTTATCGCATATTTAGAAAAGTGTCCGAATATTAACTGTTGTCACTGTATACATTAATGTTAGTTACTATTAAAATCGCAATATTGTTATTATATTATATTATTATATTACATATAATTATATTATAATATATTATATACAATATATATTATATATAATAATATTATATATAATTATATTATTAAATATAATCGCAATATTATTATTAATTATTATCGCAATACTCTTAAATCGCATACATGGAAACGATAATTTTGCAT